CAAGTTGCCCAGGCTGGTCTCGAACCTGTGAGCTCAGGCAATCCTTTCACCTTGGCCTCCCAAAGTGCTGGGATTATAGGTGTGAGCCACTGTGCCTGGCGATTTATCATTTCTTAAAATTTCTTTTGACATTTTCCAAGGTTGATAAAGGAAAAGATCAAATATGCTTACTTAAATCCCTGCTGGTTCCACGCCTGGCCATACATTCCATATGCAGGTACTTGCCAACCATTAGGCATATACTGGCCAATTTGTTGTGCGTTTCCATACCACTGGCCCCACTGGCCATAAGGTTGTGGATATCCAATCTGATTCTGCTATTAAGTAAAATTTAGTATTATTTGAAGTTAATTGTATATATAGTCTTAATATACCACAAATACTTAGCCAAAACACATAGGACCGTTATTACATAAAAATGCAGGATAAACAAGAGTTTAGTAAGTAACTGCTTAAAAGAGTGATGTCATAACTGTTTGCTGCTCTGAATGGCACTGGCTTTTAAGGCAGCAGATTTACCCTAGTAATAAATATTAAACCTAGCATAATGTTTAAATGTTTGGTAAACTATCCACACGGTTGTTTCCTTTAGATAAGGAGATACAAAGATTATCTTTCCTGTATTCAGCTTACTTAGGTTAAGAAATTTATATAATTTAGGTTACTTTAAACTCATTTTTTAGTTATTATTAACTTTCTTACTCCTATCTTTGTGCTCCATTTGCAATTTCCTCATAGAAATCTTTGTGGGATCAAGTTTGAACCACTAAAGCTGTCTGGGCAGGGGAAAGGCAAAATCTGGAAGAAAGTGTCCAGGCCTTAACTATATGTATAGCTTGATTTTTATTTCAGTTGGGTCAAGCATGCTTGTGAATTCTCCAAACAGTATGTGAATAAATCTACCAAGTATTAAAAAAGATTTAATACCCTGTTAGGTTTGTCGGAGCACTTTAAAATCCACTGTGTGAGCATGAGTCAATTGAGACGGTCACATTCATCATGTCACCACTGCCATCCATGAAACACCACTCTGGAACTATAATACATGTAGGAAGAGCCCTTATATACTATCATTTTAGCTATAAACTTATTAGCGAGGATTATCAACAATGTTCAATTTTAAATAATCTTATTATTAGCCCAGCAATTACTTCTCAAAGTGAAGGACCCTCTTACCTGTTGCACAGGATTTATTACATCAAGGGTTTCTTTGCCCCAATAGCATTTCACAACATGACCTTCAATGGTAGTACCATTAACAGAAACAATTGCATGTGCTGCACTTTCATGGGAATTGAACCTATTGAAAACAATAGTAAGAATCACCAATATAAAGTCTTTTACATATTTAGGAATAAAACTTATTTTTAAAAATCAAGCTGGGCTTGGTGGCTCAGCCTGTAATCCCGCGCCTTGGGAGGCTGAGGTGAGTGAATTGCCTGAGCCTGAGGGTTCGAGACCTGCTAGGGCAACTTGGCGAGACCTCATCTCTACAATAAATCAAAAACTAGCCAGGTGTGGTAGTGTGCGCCTGTAGTTCCAGCTACTTGGAAGGCTGAGGCGGAAGGATCGCCGGAGCCCAGCAGGTTTAGGCTGTGGTGGCCAGGAGCGGCCACTGCACTCCAGTCTGGGCGACAGAGTGAGACTCCAACTCAAAAAAAAAAAAAAAAAAAAAATCAAGGTGAGTCTGAGATAAAACAGGTAATCTGCAGAAATGAATGAATAAAATGGCATATTTTCTTTACTATTTTTTCCCCACAGATCTTACAGTTTTGGGAAATCTATGAAGGAGGGAGCTATAAAAACAGAGGCAAATATGCAATATGCTAGAGAAACTTCTATTTCTTTACAATCAAGGTAAAAAAATTTTTTTTTGAGTTGGAGTCTCACTCTGTTGCCCAGGATGGAGTACAGTGGCATGCTCTTGGCCACTGCAACCTCGACCTGTTGGGCTCTGGTGATCCTTCTGCCAAGTAGCTGGAACTAGAGGTGTGCGCTACTGCACCCAGCTACTTTTTTATTTATTGTAGAGACAAGGTCTCATCAAGTTGCTGGGGCTGTTCTCGAACTCACGGGCTCAGGCAAAGTCCACTTGCCTCGGCCTCCCCAAGTGCTGGGATTACAGGCTTGAGCCACTGAGCCCAGCCAATCAAGGTAAAATTTTAAGAAAATCAGTAAGGCAAATGTTGAAGAATTATTAAGAGGAAAAGGTTTTTTCAAAGACCACCCCTACCGAACAAAGGAATATCCTTTATCTGGGAAGACTCGAATTTCCATTATCTGCCCAAATGGCGAAAAAGTCTGACGCATTAGTTGTTCTGTTAGACAAAAAACAAAAACAAATGAAATGATACTAAGTTACATAAAAATCCTACAGATATTAAGCTTTGCAGTTTAAAAATTAATGCCACACAGATAAGGATCCCATACCTGTCAGCCCAGAAGTAACACCTCCACAGTAGACAGTACAGTTGCTTGGACTAGACTGATTTACAACTTCATCATATGACAGCTGTTTGGTGTTTGCTGGGGAGGGGAAAAGTTTATTTCATTAAATAATATGTTCAGAAAGAGAAAGGGAGCATTAGCTACACTACTGTAATGGTAATATTTACCTTGATTAAAATGCTTATATAAGACATATTATACTTGAATTCAGGATTAAACCTCCCCCAAAAACATCTAAAAAATTACCCAGTATTCTCTATGTAATAGGAGACTTGACATTAGAGATAATATATCACTTATTATTTATAATTACAAAAATGAAAACTAAGTACATTTTTGAACAGTAGTCTTGATTTGCTTCTCATCTATGTCTGCAATAAGTCTCCGGGGACAGCTCTAACATTTAAAATCTAGTGTATTTTTCTCCAAAATTCCACATTTCCTTTTCTTCTCCAATACACCTACACTCATATGTACTCTTTGGAGCTGGAGGCTTTCGGGTTGCCCAGTTAGTTCTGATTTGTCTTCCACCAAGCCACTGGCCACCCATCTGTTGAATGGCGTTTTCAGCATCCTGTTCCGCACAACATTGGAAACAATAAACAAACCACCATTAGTTGATGTTAAAACAACTTTTAGCAGTAGAGAAAACGTAGTGCTTTTCACAAATGTTTTTTAAGTGAAAACGCTTTATGAAATACACAATATATGATAGTTTTCCTAAAATGCAGTAGTGCTTTTGAATTACCTTTCTTTCTTTTGTGTGTGTGTGTGAACCACATTTTACTAGTTAGCAATTGTTAGGTTACAACATATATTCCTGCAGGGCCTCCCAAATGTTAGGTCAGACCTGCCGGGGGTAAGGTATGCAATCTGGTGCCGCGTGAAAGATTCAAAAAATTACACAGAAGTTAGATTAGAAAATGTAGTTTATTTTAAAAGTAAATTAGAGAGAGAGAGAGGCTGATTCACCTCTCCAAGATAGGAAGTCATAGCTTAGGGAACATGACGGGGGCCTTAGCTCAAAGAGCATGTGGCCACACCTGAGTCTAGTAAAGCAATGGCCTAAATTACCTTTCATTTGGATATCAAACTTTGGAAATGTTAATCATATGAAAAGGCCCCAAAGCCCTAATAAGGTGGATATCACAAAGTTCATGCAACAACAAAGAATATTATAATGAAAATTTTATTTTAAAAATCCAACAAGTTTGTTAATGACAATATTTGGTTTCTCATTAATACAACAAGTAAATATTGAGCAGTTATGTTCTAGGCACCAGATTAGGAGCTAGGGATACACTGGTAAGCAAGTATACACGGTCTCTTACATTCTTACAAGGGGAACAAGTGAAGCAATTACAATGACACAAAAGGCTGAGATAGAGAATATGGGCATGGGGATCTACTTTAGACAATATGATTAACGAAGGTCTTTCTGAAATGACATTTAACTGAGATTGAGAGTAGGAGCTAGTCAAGTCAAAACAATGGAGAAGAAAGCCCCAGGAGACGGAAAAACACTGCAAAGTGTGCTAAGGCAGGAGAGTCTGGTAAGCATCTGAAAGAATACTAGTTTCAGTGCTATCTAGTGAGCAAAAATGCCAAAGAATGAAACTGAAAAATTTAAAGCAAGAGATTTTAAACATGATTTTATGTTTTAAGAAGTTCATTTTTAGTGCTAGAATGGTTTAGGAAGATGGGTAATAAAAGAAAAAGACACTGAGATGAAATATTCAAGATTTTGAAAAACACTGGTAGGGCTGGGATGCGGTGGATCAAGCCTGTCATCCCAGCACTTTGGGAGGCCGAGGCGAGAGGATTCCCTGAGCTCAGAGGTTAGAGATCAGCCTGGGCAACTTGGTGAGACTTCGTCTCCACAATAAATCAGCTGGGAGTGGTAGTGTGTGCCTGTAATTCTAGCTACTTGCAAGACTGAGGTGGAAGAATCACCTGAACCTAGCAGAGCAGGTCGAGGCTGCAGTGGCATTCCAGCCTGGGCAACAGTAAGACTCCAACTCAAAAAAAACCCCCAAAACAAAAACAAACAAAAAACACTGGTAGCTAAGGGTACAGTAGCAGTGAGTGTTAGCTAAACTAAGAGATAACAGAATGGAGGGTGGGGGTGGGGATATAGCATGCAAAAGGAGAGAAATCAAAGATAACTCCTAGGTTCCTATTTGTAGAAGCTGAAAGGACAGTGCTCGCATTTACTGCAATGGGGAGAAAAATTGGGAGAGAAAAGGGGAACGGGCTTGAGGAAGAAACAAAGGGCTCCCCTTAAGACATGTTAAGTTTGAGATGTCTGTTAGACATCTAAATGTCTAGAAATCTAGACCATTTGTTAATAATTGTGTAGCAGAGAAGTACACTGAGCTTTATTATATAAAACATTCAGTCATGAAGAAAGACTAGAGAAAAGTCTTGGCACAGAGCCCTAAAAAACAGTACAACTTAAAAACTGGGTAAAAAAAAATTGATCAGGCATTGTGGCTCATGCCTGTAATTACATTTTGGGAGGCTGAGGCAGGAGGACTGCTTGAGTTCAGGAGTTTGAGGCCAGCCCGGGCAACACATTGAGAAAATTAGCTAGGTGTGGTAGCACACAGCTATAGTCTCAATTTCTCAGGAGGCTGAGGTAGGAATATTGCCTGAGCCCAGTAGGTCAATGCTGTGGTAAGCCATGATCACGGATGGCACTGTACTCCAGCCTGGGCAACAGAGTGAGACCCCAGCTGAAAACAAAAACTATTCACTTGAAAAGGAGGAAAAAACCTGGTTTCAGATGTGAGCTGTTGGTGGTGGTTGTAAACAGGAGATGAAGTGGAAGTATATGCACACAACTCTTGAGAAATCTTATTCTGAACAACAGTAGAGAAACAGGGACATAGGTAGGGAAGGGATGCGAGGACCAAGTGTGGTTCTGACTGTAAGATACTCGATGTTTTTTTGGTTGATGAGAATGATCCAGTGGAGAGGGAGAGACTGATGACATAGGACAGTAAGAATAAGGACAGCATGTATTATATATATGACTTCATGTATGGAAAATGTTCAGACTAGGCAATCTACAGAGACAGAGGTAGATTAATAAATAGTTGCTCAGGGCAGATGGGAGGGTTGTGAAAGGAAAAGGACTGTGACTGCCAATGAGCGTGTACTTTTCTGGGGATGATAAATGTGTTCTAAGTTTGATTGTGGTGATGGCTACAATAATTATGAATTTCCTATAAACCACTGTATTGCACACTTTATTTACTTATTTTTATCTTTTAGCACTGGGGTCTTACCCTGTTGCTCAGACTGAAGTGCAGTGACACGATCATGGCGCACCACAGCTTCAAACCCCTGGGCTTAGGCAATCCTTCTGCTTTAGTCTCCTGAGTAGCTGAAACTACAGGTACATGCCACTTTGCCCAGCTGATATTTTTACTTTTGTAGAGATAAGATCTTTTTTTTTTTTTTTTTGAGTTGGAGTCTCACTCTGTCACCCAGACTGGAGTGCAGTGGCCACTTCCGGCCACCGCAGCCTTGACCAGCCGGGCTCCAGCGATCCTTTCGCCTCAGCCTTCCAAGTAGCTAGAACTACCTACAGGCGCGCTACCACGCCCGGCTAATTTTTTTGATTTTTATTGTAGAGATGAGGTCTCGCCAAGTTGCCCAGGTGGGTCTCAAACCCGTGGACTCAGGCAATTCACTCATCTCAGCCTCCCAAAGCGTGGGATTACAGGCTGAGCCACCGAGCCCGGCTGAGATAAGATCTTGTTATGTTGCCTACGCTGGTCTCAAACTCCGGGGCTCAAGCAACTCTCCTGCCTCAGCCTCCCAAAGTGCTGGGATTACAGGTGTCAGCCACTGTGCCCGGCCATATTTTCATACTTTAAATTAGTGAATTTTATGGTATGTGAACAATATCTCAGTAAAACAGCTGTTAAAAAAAAAAAAAAAAACAGGGCCACCCTCTTTCGAGTCCCCTCCCACTGCGGAAGGTTAATAAACTCGTGCTTCCTCACTAAAAAAATAAAATTAAAACAATAATAAAGTAGCAGCAGATCAAAGTCCTTAAAAAGGCAAAAGTGGGAATCCAATCACAAGTGATTTGGTCTCTGACAGGAAGGACCTTTCCTTTACTATACAAGGCGGAAAAAGGGGAAGGAGAACGCATTTTAAGTAAGTTTGTTGGTTGAAAGATGAGGAAATTCTTGTATGACAGCTTGTATTCTCCTCAGTGAATCATGAGATAAGGTCAGTTTAGGGTAATGATGAATTACCCTAATGATGAATAGGAAGAAGGGAGGAATAAATGAAGAGATGGGACAGTGAGGAATATAATAGTTATTACAAAGAATGCGAAATCAAATGTATTAGATAAACACATTTACAAAGATAGTACTAGGTACTCATCTAAATGTGACCATTAAATTAGAAGCAAAATCAGTTGAACTAAGTTCTTCTCTAGCAATATTCAGCTATTCTGGTGGCAAGTAGAGAAGCTAGATTCAAGCAGTATTGAGGTTTTTCCTAGCATGTAGAACATGAGAAGAGAGGCTGGGGTAATTGCAATCAGGGCTGTGGCACTGTGCACCACCAGAGCCAAGCATGTATCACAAATGCTACTTATTTATTTATTTTAAATTAGGTTAGGGTCTCACTCTGTTACCCAGACGGGAGTGCAATGACATTGTCACAGCTTACTGCATCCTTGACTTCCTGGACTCAAGCAATCCTTCCGTATCAGCCTCCCAAGTACCTGGGACTATAGATATGCACCACCACACCTGGCTAATTTTTTGATTTTTTTGTGGAGACTAGGTCTCACTATGTTGCCTAGGCTGGTCTGGAACTCCTGGACTCAAGTAATCCTCCTGCCTCAACCTCCCAAAGTGCTGGGATTACAGGGATCAGCCACTGTGCCCAGGCCAAAAATTTTATAATAGTTGAAATGTAAACTTGCAAAGACTAGATTACTTACTCAAAGTTACACCTATCTTTCTTTCAGTTTTCTGAGTCAAGGTCTCACTCTACTGCCCAAGCTGGAGTGTAATGTTATGACCATGGCTCACTGCAGCCTCAACCTCTTAGGCTCAGGCAATCCTTCTACCTCAGTTTTCTGAGTAGATGGAACAACAGGCACATACCACCATGCCTGGCTAATTTTTATTTTTTGTAGAGACGAGATCTTGCTGTGTTGCTCAGGCCGGTATTGAATTCCTGGACTCAAGCAATACTCCAACCATACCCAGCAAAGTCACAACTATCTTATAATGGTTATCAGGATTCATCTCCATCACTGGCTAGCTCCAGAGACCACACACATACATTCTTTGCAACTGGACTCTAGTTCATACTAAATATGCATTCAATAGTGGTTTTTATATAGAACCCAATATTCCATAATTTCAAGTGGGAAGAGTAAGTTCCTAGTCCACCCAAACTCCTAATTTGCCTAAGTTGCACCAAAACACTCTAAAAACCTATGAATCAATCCTATAAGGAACTCATACTAATTGTGGCTATCAAGAGGTTTTTCTATCTTCCCAAAATATTATGCTGTGAGCAATAAGGCTTTCAGAACCAACTAAACAGTCATACTTTTTATTTTCTCATTTCACAGGAAAACAAATCTTATAATTCATAGATGGGCACTTATATGGCTGAGCTTGTATGTTTTCACCTCTCAGTATGTTTTATCATTTTCAACTTTTCTTCTAAGCTATGGAGTTTTCCCAGTCTCAGGCTTAGATTCACTTTTTTCACAGGTCTTTCTACTTTCTTAGAAGATATTTTCACTTCATGTAGGGAAGATGATAGCCATACTGCATAACATATTTAAACAATCTGACCATAAGATATAATGTTATCATGAGAAGAGCTGAAATACAATTGCAGTGCATTTTATGTTCTTTTGCCTGGACTTATGAGTCATGTAAACATTTTTAGAGCAAACTTTGGATTTGGATAATAAATTTTAGGCAAATGGTTGCAAGAAGTTATAGTATGTATCTGAATAATAAATGTTCATAGTTAGGAGTTAAAAGATACTAGTTAAACATAAATAGACACAGGAACTAGAAAAAACATGTCAGTTTGACACTACTTGGTATAGCAGCAAATATATATATATATTTTTTTAGCCCCAGAAGGAACTACTCTGTCATAACATATAAACAATAAATGATGTTCATAAGCCAGACACAGTGGCTCGTGCTTGTAATCCCAGCACTTGGGAGGCCAAGGTGGGAGGAGTGCTCGAGCCTGGGAGTTTGAAACCAGCCAGGGCAACATAGTAAGATGTTGTCTCTAAAAAAAACCAAGAATTAGCTCGGCATGGTGTTGTGTACCTGCAGTCCCAGCTACTTGGAAGGTTGAGGGGGGAAAGATCATCTAAACCCAGGAGGTCAAGGGTGTGGTAAGCCATGATTGTGCCACTGCACTCCAGGCTGGATGATAGAGTGAGACCCTGACTCAGTAAGTAAACAAATAAGTAGACAGTGCTCATAAATTTGATCTGGAGTCATCAAGAAATAATATATCTGTTTCAAATACTCCACTTACTAAAGTAAGAAAAACCTCTCTAAAATATATTTTAAACTATGAAAAACTTTTAATGGCTCTTTTTAAGGTACTCTAAACACAAAAGGTAGTGTTTCTATCCTTATCTTAGGCAATCACTAGTCATAATAGAGGTAAACAATAAAATTCATGTTAATGAAACCTTGGTGTGCACTCCAAGATTAGTGCATATAAATTCTCTCATCATGCACCCCTATATTTTTGGGAAGTGTGATCCTGTTGCATTCAACTGCTTCTAAACTTCAGTAACCTCATTAAATAAAGTTAAAAGAACTTAATTATTTGAAATGGTAGTACATTTACAAGGTTCAAACATCAAAAACTATAGAATAGTGAGATGTTTTCCTCCCTACCCCCCATCTGCCTAGCACTTATCACCTACCCTTTTTTTTTTTTTTTTTGAGTCGGAGTCTCACTCTGTCGCCCAGACTGGAGTACAGTGACACGTTCCCAGCCACTGCAGCCTCAACCTGCCAGGTTCTGACGATCCTTTCGCCTCAGCCTTCCAAGCAGCTGGAACTACAGGCGTGCACTACCAGGCCTGGCTAATTTTTTTTATTTTTTAATTTTATTGTAGAGATGAGGTCTCACCAAGTTGCCCAGGCGGGTCTCGAACCTGCGGGCTCAGGCAATCCACTCACTTCAGCCTCCCAAAGCGCTGGGATTACAGGCTGAGCCACCGAGCCCGGCTATCACCTACCCTTAAGTAAGAAGCTCTGTCACAAATTTTTAATCCCTGCAGCAGAAAACACAGAGACACACGCGCGCGCGTGCGCAGTCACATTAATGTTCCTTCCTTTTTACGTTAAATTAGCCTTTCACCTAACAATATATGGCAGAAATCTTTCCATGATCAGTACTGCATTATCCTTCCTAACTCTGTGAAAATTCAGAAATTTTAAGTCCATGTAAATTAGTGGTAAGTTAATGTTCACCAAATAAAAGGAAAAAATGATAAAGAATCTTCAAATATATTAACACATTTGTGACTGGTAAATTTTTCATTTTTCTAATACTGAGAGCAGGTGGGAAAAAAAAATCTGAAACTGGTTGCTGCAAACTTCTGTCATTAAACACAAGTGAAATGGTCTTTTCTAAACTGTTACCTTTTTCACAATACAGCTGAAAGTTGCAGACATATCCAGTATTTGCCTAAGACACCACTCGGACTAGCATTCTGTACTTTGTATTTTTATTCAGATTATAAACCTGAAAAGACAGTCTTCCATGATAAAGTAAATTTACGTCAGCAGCAACCAAGGACAGAATTTGGGATGACGTAAATCCATGTCAGTGGTCACAAATGAGTTACTATATCATTTTTTTAAAAGTTCTTACCCATCAGAACATTTTATTAGCTATTTTAAAATTACTTATGGGAATACAAAAGATGAAGATAATAAATTAAACCCATAAATGAGACTTTAAATATCTACCTTTGGCTGATAACTTAAATATCTTTACTTTCTATATTCCGAACTATCAGTAGTTTGCATGCATAAATGCAAATGTTGAATAAATGACAAAACAGGAAAAAAAGATATCTTCTAGTGAGGGTGCTGATTATCACTAAAGTAAACAAATGCCAGCTGAAAGGAAGATTAATAATGAAAACAAACTGCTTCCATTCTTTATTGCACATGCATTTATGATTGAGCTCACCCATTTGTTGAAAAAGGAGACAAAGCCATATCCCTTAGACTTTCCTGTTGCCATGTCTTTTACCACTCGGGCATCTCTGAAATCAGAAACAATCCGAAGTTTAGGTTTGCGAACTGTCCTCTGGATATAAAATGAAAATTTCATATACAACTCATTTTCATGTTTCACCTTCATTAAGTGAACCTTTAATGCAAATTCACCTTTTAGTCTATAAAATTGATCATGAATTAGCAAATGAAGCTTAGTTTTATAGACATGCAAATCAATAATTTCTTAAATATATGTATATGTACATTGTACAGAAATTGCTTCTCATTTCAAAAAGCTTTTTAAACCTTTAAACATTAGGCATGGTGAAAGCAGCTACTCATACGAGTTACTTAACCATTTAAAAAGTTAATAGGTACATTAGGTAACTGGCTTTCTTTAACCATGCAATTTATAACTTGCTATCTGATACCATATTCTACCTAATAATTAAAAAATTAAAATAAAAAACTAAAAGAATGAAGAGTTGTATATTTCCTAAGCTAATTAATTACTTCATTTGTCACATCAGTTTATACCCCCCTTTTGGACTAGAGTAAATTTGAGAATGTGACATTTTCAGAAATGTTAAATCATTGAGAAAAAATACTACACACACACACTTTAGTTTTAAACTATACAAGAAAAGATTTTACACTGAATTTTTATAATAGCATTCATATAAAATTGATTGGAAACTATAAGATATAAAAGCAAAATTTTAAAAAGTCAGAAAGTAAAAAAGCACGCCAACATTTATCCACTGTGAACCGTAGCTTGTAGTTAGCCAGGGCAATTCTGTCCATTCTTCAGAGACACTCTGCAAAATAACCAGAGCCCTATTATTTGAGATTGAGTAAAAACCCAGCCATGATAGCTAAAACTCCATACCTCAAAAAATTGGACTCAAATTGTGCTTCACAGGCAATCTGCTTTTAAGTTAGCCAGGTATGTCACAATGCTTGTTCTCTCAGGACACATGAACAAAACAGGCACTTTTACAACAAAAACCCAAGTCAGAAAGCCATGCAATGTAATTTTATATTAAAGTATACACAAGCATATTTTAGATCATTTTGAGCGATTTATTAAGTGTTTAGGGTCAAAATGACAAAGAGATGGTAGTGAAAAGGGAAAACTGATGCAAGTCAATTCTCAGTATGTAAAAAAAATTAATAAATTATCTGTATGGTACACATGCATTTAATTTAGTAGCTGACTCACTTCTACATCATAATTTGCTAGCCTACCCTAAACTCAAGGAATAGAAAGAGTTTAAACTGTGTAAATCAGGGCAGTACTACATTTTTTAATGCAAGATATTGTAACAGACCACTGTTTGTTACAAACCTCCTATAAACCAAGCACTGATATAGGCACTCTTTAGAGTGTCTGACTATCATGAGAACCCTGAAACATACAGTCACCAACTAATCTCCTTCAACAACAACAAATCAGGAAAATATGCTACCAACTGCCAGATGATTCTTTTAAATGTAGGAAAGCTAACTCCTTGTATAGCCTAAAACTCAAACATTATTCATCAACTCAACACAGTATCATAAAACTTAGAGAAGCCTTACCAAGAAAACAAATGTATACACCAATAATCATGGGATCATAAGAAAATCTATAGACTAAAAATATGATACAAGAATATACTTAACAAGGCTGGGCTCGGTGGCTCAGCCTGTAATCCCAGCACTTTGGGAGGCCGAGGCAAGAGGATTGCCTGAGCCCACGGGTTCGAGACCCACCCGGGCAACTTGGCAAGGCCTCATCTCTACAATAAATCAAAAAAACTAGCCAGGAGTGGTAGCGCGTGCCTGTAGTTCCGCTACTTGGAAGGCTGAGGCAGAAGGATCGCCAGAGCCCAGCAGGTTGAGGCTGCGGTGGCTGGGACCGTGCCACTACACTCCAGTCTGGGTGACAGAGTGAGACTCCAACTCAAAAAACAAAAAAAAAGAATATACTTAACAAAAAAGGAACTTATTGATCATGATTAAAAAGTCATGAAATTGCTAAAATTTGAAGGTAATTCAACTAAGCTCACCAACTGTTAAATAATCTTTGTCTAATCCCAAACTAAAATACTTATGTTTGGCTGGGCGTGGTGGTTCACACCTATAATCCCAGCACTTTGGGAGGTTGAGGTGAGAGGATTGCCTGAGCCCATGGGTGTGAGATCAGCCTGGGCAACTTGGTGCGACCTCATCTCTATAATAAAATTTTTAAAATTAGCCAGATGTGGTGGTGCGTGCCTATAGTTCCAGTTACTTGGAAGGCTATGGCGGAAGGATCGGCTAAGCCTAGTAGGTAGAGGCTGCGGTGGCCGTAAGTGTGCCACTGCATTCCAGCCTGGATGACAGAATGAGACTCCAGCTCTAAATAACTAAATAAATAATAAAATACCCATGCTTTTAGAAGTTACTTCAATCAAGATAGAAGCATGTAATAAAATAGTTACATAATCTGTTTACAAAATTAGAAAAAGTTTTTCTTAAAGTTTCAGAAAATGATAGCCTTAAAAAATATTCAAAGCCGGGCTTGGTGGCTCAGCCTGTAATCCCGTGCCTTTGGGAGGCTGAGGTGAGTGGATTGCCTGAGCCTGCGGGTTCGAGACCCGCCTGGTCAACTTGGCGAGACCTCATCTCTACAATAAATCAAAAAAATCAGCCGGGCGTGGTAGCGCATGCCTGTAATTCCAGCTACTTGGAAGGCTGAGGCGGAAGGATCGTTGGAGCCCAGCAGGTCGAGGCTGCAGTGGCCGGAAGCGGCCACTGCACTCCAGTCTGGGCGACAGAGTGAGACTCCAACACAAAAAACAACAACAACAACAACAACAACAATTTGCCAGGCATGGTGGTACATGCCCGTAATTCCAGCTACTTGGAAGGCTGAGGTAGAAGGATCGCCTGAGTCCTGGATAAAAAAATAAAAAAAATTCAAGTCTTACTTATTTCTCTCTGAGAGGATTCTCTGAAGAAGTAGCAGTAAAGATCTAGATTAGGCTTAATTCTTTTATCGTCCTGTGACTACTATGAGAATACCAAAATGAAAACACACAAAAGTTTTCATATAGAGATTTAGAGTTCTTGAGAGGCTGAGGTTTAAAACCCTCCATGTCTAGATATCTGAAAGCAAGCTAACCATTATTAAATCCTAAATCATTAAGACAAACAACCAAGAAATTAAAACTGTACTTATTTTCCTTATCAGTTCTCGCAAAGAAAAATATCATCTAACAGAACAGTACATTTATAGCTCTAATTTTGTGACTGTCTTTAAAGTTGGCCATGCCTCAGTCGCTATGCACTATCACTTTCTAATCAATTAAATATAACTTTTCAAATACTACTGGCATTTACTTTCCAGTCTCATCTTTTCATATCTCCCGTTGGTCTATTCAAATCAAACTACAGCTAGTATTTCCTTTTAACTACTCTTCTAGATGAAACAGTAATAAAGCAACCAGAAATTCTGAAGAAAAATTTCTAAATTCAACGATTACTCCTAAGTACTATAAACAACTTGTTATTCTTCCTGTAATAGGACATGCTTTTCAACACATTAAAGTTCTTCTAGTATGAATGCTACCCTCAAGTAAAATATTTACAAAGGGTCTAAAATGTATGATTAATAACAAATGCAAGCAAGACAGTGCGTCACAAAATGCTATAAGGCTATTACAGTACTACAGACTGTTAACAGTCTTAAAAAAGAGGGTAAACTGTTTTTTAGGTTGAATTGTTAAGGTTTATTTATGTTAAAATATATTAACACAAAATGCATGGTATCATAGATGCCCAATGGATTTAAATTCCTTAGTCATAGTACAATATTTTCTAAGATTATCACCAAGCTACCATGACATCTATCTATAACAAGTGATAAAATACATGTCAAATTTGTCTCTTAAAAGCTAATACTAATTGCAAAAGGATTTTAAGATAATTGAAGATCAAAGATTTATTCATCAATGGGAAAACAATCTTTTGTTGTAAATTAACTTTTGAATAATCTCTAAACAATGTAACTTCTTATATTCAAGTGTTAAAATTAATGTCCAAAGCTCACAAAATAATTATTTTCAACTTACTTCTACATAAGATAGTTTCTATTTAAAAGCATTTTATTATCTTCTGTTACTTACGATATTCTTCCAAATGGTGCAAAAGCAGCTTTTATATCTTCAGTTGTAATTTCTGGACTGAGATCACCAACAAAGACATGGAAATGATCTTATAAGGGGAAGGAAGGGGAAGTGAAAAGAAAAATAGAACTTTAGAATTTAAAAAATACTAAAATCTATCCAATAAAGTATTCTTAAAATGATTTATGAATTATAATAAAGTATAAATAAAATACTATCCTATATCTATACAAATCCTATCAATTTTAAACATAATGATCAAGGTAACAATATAGCAAAGATTCTCCTAAAAAGACTGACATATCTAACTGGAGACTGACAGTTATATTTCTATTTACAGTCAATTATTACACTGGTCTAAGAAAATAAACTAATAATATACAAGTTTCACTTCTGCAAAAAATTTAATGACTTAGTTACCGTTCTAATAGTAATTCTTTACTTTTATTCAATTTACCACTATATTAAGCTTTACAAATTAGAATAAAATAGTGGTATCGTGAATTACGTAGACTAGATTTGCCTCAGTTAACACAATTTACTGAAGCTAGATACATGATATACTTGGTTTAACCATATTTTGTGAAGAACAATCAAAGAAATACCTTGCATTGCAACAGTTTGATGTTAAAGTATTTGACAGTTTTCTCAAAAGCCAACAGTTTTGGTTGCCCAGACATTACACCATTCAGTTTATGTGAATCCATGTGCAAGTGAACTAAGACTGAAGGCAACAGAATGAAAACAGTAATCCCTTCACTTTATATCAGAACCATTTAAAAAAAGCATTGGAGAGAAATAACCATCCCATATCTGAAGTTTTTAAAAAAGACAATCATCAAAAAAGAAACACTTTTTAAAAAGGCAAAATTGTTGGACCAACACTTTAAAATGGACACATATATATCAATTTTGGCAAAGTATCTTTGGAAATAAAAGTTACCCATATTTGGCAAGCCTTAAACAACATATTGGGTTGCTCTTTGGGAAACAAAGTTTCAGGAACAACTCAAGCATTCCGAAGATCTGGGTATGATGCCCAGACAGTGACCTCAGGGAAGCAGGGTATCTTGCCCCTTAGCTGGTGAAAGTTCTAAGACATCAGCGGCTACCAAGGGGGTCAGAGAGCTTGAACTAGCATCAAAGTAGTAAACAAGCCACACACGGTGAACACTAAGAAGGGGGGAAACACTGCTAGAGACAAATAGAAACACGACCTCCTCCCTCCCCACTCCCCCCAGTATCAAACAAAAAAAACTTCAGGTGGTTAGTGAATACCCTCTCAAGAGATTTCATTTTATGTTTAAGAAGATACAATTACCTTGTGAACGCTGTGTGCTGACAACGGTACTACCTGATGACAAAGATTAGATTTGTTCTTAAATTTATTAACACAAACACATTAAATCATATCTTAGGATAACGATCAAAACATTACTGCAAACATGTATGATGTTTATATGCTTTACAATAAAACTACTGGGTATAATAAAAACAAATGTTCAAAAAGTATAAAATGTACTTACTGCTTGTATCTTTCTTTTGACTGCTGGGGGTTGTTGCCCAATTCACTTTGACTTCCTAAAATAAAATTTTTCCAAATTTATATTTCACAAAAACAAAGCTCAAAATCAGATTTGCATCTATGAACACATAGGAAGTTATACAGCTGAGATGAAACATTCAAGGTGATATCAGTTCTGATCATACTTATTTAGGTATTTTTTTCCTCATTGTTTCACTGTCACCCAAGCTGGAGTACAGTGGCACCATCATGGCTCACCACAACCTCCAACTCCTGGGCTCAAGTAATCCTCCTGCATCAGCCGCCCGAGAAGCTGCGACTACAAGTGTGTGCCACCACTCCTGGCTAATTTCTTGATATTCTGTAGAGACATGGTTTCACTATGTTACTGGGGCTACTCTTAAACTCCTGAGCTCAAGCGATCTTCCTGTCTCAGCCTCCCAAAATGCTGGGATTATAGGCGTGAGCTACGGCATCTGGCCTTTAAAATCTTCTTACCCACACTTAGGCCAATCAAATCCTAATCTTTATCTGTCTCTGTTAACATTCAATTAACCTTTCTTACCTAAATGCATTTTTTCTTTCATTCTTTCCTATTAGCATCCAAGGTTGAGTAATCCAACAAATATTTTAGTTTTTACCATGTACACACCACCATGGAAAATACTAATGTAAACACCGGCCTCTGCCCCCAAAAGCATGAGTCTAGCTTTTTAATATTAAATGTGAACTGATCCTTTGCTAAAAAATTAAACATAATGTTTCTAAAAAAGGAAACAAAGTCATATGTAATTTATCAAATTTTCCATTGCACGTCACCTTCTTTAATTATGACAGCTTACCTTACCCATTATCTTCCGTCCATTCATAGCAGCTAATGCTGCAGCTGCATGACGATGCTCATGAAACTCCACAAAACAATATGGATCATTTCCAGCTGTCTGTTAGAGAAGAAAGATAAAAGCCAATTTTAAGCTATATTCTCCCATTACCTTAAAATTGTGGAAAAAAAAATTTTCTAACCAAGTTTTATACATCTAAGTTATCAGACCATGGAGAATGAAGGTTCCATATTATAAGTACATTTTTAGATTTAAAAAAGTAAACAGCCAGGCCTGGTAGTGCACTCCTGTAGTCCCAACTACTTGGGAGGCTGAGGCAGGATGATTGCTTGAGCCCAGGAGTTTGAATTCAGTGTGAGCAACATAGCAAAGCCCCATCTCTAATAAAATTAGAAAGTTAAAAAAAAAAGTGTATACTTAAAAACAAACTTTTTTTTTTTTGAGTTGGAGTCTCACTCTGTTGCCCAGACTGGAGTGCAGTGGCCGCTCCCGGCCACCGCAGCCTTGACCTGAAGGGCTCTGGCGATCCTTCCACCTCAGCCTTCCAAGTTGCTGGAACTACAGGTGCGCATTACCACGCCTGGCTAATTTTTTGGATTTATTGTAGAAATGAGGTCTCGCCAAGTTGCCCAGGCGGGTCTCGAACCTGCGGGCTCAGGCAATTCACTCACCTCGGCCTCCCAAGGCGCGGGATTACAGGCTGAGCCACCGAGCCTAGCACCAAACTATTTTTATAGAAAGCTATTTCCTTCAACTTGTTATACTATGCTACTATAATTAAATCTTTCATTAATGACTAAGTGTCTCTGTAAATATATATCAGAAAATACATATATTTTCTCCCCATCATCATATAATCATTTACTTAAGCTACAGAGATCAAAGTTGGAATAGATTTCTACTTTGGCTTTTCATGAATTTTCCATCCTTGTCCTGTTATAGGTTACTTTTTACTGCTACTAATGTATATTATCTCCTTGCTACTTCTAACTTGCTAAGTAACAGAAAATCTTAGTCAGCATTGTTAAACCTGTTTCTAAAATATAGGTAAGGCTGGGTGTGGTGGCTCATGCCTATAATCTCAATGCTATGAGAGGGTGAAGTGGGAGGATTGCTTGAGGCCAGGAGTACAAGACCAGCCATGGTCAACACACTGAAACTCTTTTTCTAAAAATAAAAATTAGCCAGGTGTGGAGATGCGCACCTGAAGTCCTAGCTATTCGGGAGACTGAGATGGGAGGATTCCTTGAGCCCAGGAGTTGGAGGTTACAGGGAGCTAAGATTGTGTCACTGCACTCCAGCCTGGGTGACGGAGTGAGACCCTGTCTAAGAAATAATAACAAAATATAGGTAAATAGGCTCCAGGAACTAAAAAGGTTCTCTGGTTAATAAAGCTTTAGAGTAAGTTTCAGAATGTAGAATTTCTGACATCAATTTTTTTGCCTGCTCAGAAGTCTTTTAAAAATTTATCTTCTGCTGGTGTTCCAGGTAGTTGGGGTTATATGATAAGTAAAGCCTGGATGTTCTATTATGAATTAAAAAACAGAAACAAATCCAATATTTTACACCTATTAGTGAAAAATACTAAATGATTTAGTAGTCCATTTAAAAATTATTTCTAGCCTGGCACGGAAGATCACGCCTATAATCCCAGCATTTTGGGAGGCTGAGGCAAGAGGATTGCCTGAGCCCAGGGGCTTCAGATCAGCCTGGGCAACTTGGAGAGATCCTGTCTAAGAATTTTTTTTTCTTTGGAGCCGGAGTCTCACTCTGTCATCCAGGCTGGAGTGCTGTGGCATGCTCATGGCGACTGCAGCCTCGACCTACTGGGCTCAGGTGATCCTTCTGCCTCAGCCCTCCAAGTAGCTGGAACCACAGGCATGTACCACCATGCCCGGCTAATTTTTTGATTTATTGTAGAGATGAGGTCTCACCAAATTGCCCAGGCTGGTCTCAAACTCCTGGTCTCGGGCAATTCTCTCGCCCTGGCCTCCCAAAGTGTTGGGATTACAGGCCTGAGCCACCACGCCTGGCCAAAACTAATTTTTTAAATAAAAAGAATGCAAGCATATATACATATTATCAGCTTTTGTGAACACCAGTCTAAGGGTGTGACTAAACTGAAATTTAGGCCTGAATAATATAAACCAAAGATTTTGAGTGAAGAAAAACCAAATTTTAGAAAAGATGCCAAAGGCCTAGCTAGCTTTTTCTGTAGGCTAGGCAGTCACTGACATTTTGCCTAATGATCTTTACCCAGGGAAATATATGACCAGAGAGAAAGAGTCGCAGCATGCAAACTAATAGGGAAGATTTCTATTCAGATAAATCAATGGGGTTTTACATGCTTGCTTTGCCACATTTCCTCAAGTACAAATGAGAACAATATCTTCTTTATAACGTTTCTCTTGAGCATTTGTGATAATGTATTAAAAAACCCCATAGGCAGCAAGTATTCTGCAAATGCTACTACTGGAATAAGGAAGGAGACCTAGATCAAGAAAAGCCTGGTTTTAAATTCCTCATTTCCCCCCTTTCCATCTCATCTTTCTCTACAGGTACAGGGGTCTTTATTCCTTTATACAAAGGTTCATCGGTATTAAATGTGATAGGAGAATGAAAAGGACAAGAGTGTTTGTTGATTCCACCGATAACATATGTAGATGACCCTACAGCATTAAAACAAAGGTTTGACAAGATCTTAATAGCTAAAACAACAAATCAAAGCAAATTGGCTAAATAATTGCTTTTAAAAATACCGAGTAAAAAACAGACTGGAATAAAACAGGAATGAAAGTAGCAGATACACACATAAATGATTTTCTTTTTTGGAGAAAACCGAAAGCTTACAGGAAGGAGATACTATGGGATAAACAGACTTCTCCTTTGCACTCTCTTTCCCATTAAAAAACTGTAAATGTATTTTCAAACATATTATGATCTACATTTAATGATTATTACACTTAATGATTTCATATGTTAGATAAATGTGTTCAATGTTTTTTCTATACATTAAGGTCTAAATTCGACAAAAACTTGATTCATGACCTTCAAAAATAAAGTTAAATACACTTTTACTGTATCAGAGGTCTATTTTTTAACCCCATTTCCCAATCTAATTTTTTTTTTTTTTGAGTTGGAGTCTCACTCTATCACCCAGACTGGAGTGCAGTGGCCGCTCCCAGCCACTGCAGCCTCGACCTGCTGGGCTCCGGCGATCCTTCCGTCTCAGCCTTCCAAGTAGCTGGAACTACAGGCATGCGCTACCATACCTGGCTAATTTTTGATTTATTGTAGAGATGAGGTCTCGCCAAGTTGCCCAGGCAGGTCTCGAACCCGCGGACTCAGGCAATCCACTCACCTCAGTCTCCCAAAGTGCTGGGATTACAGGCTGAGCCACCGAGCCCGGCTTCCCAATCTAATTTTAATAACCAAATTTATTAGCCAACTAATTGACACCACATACAAAACAATTCTGATGCCTCAATCAACCTTAAAACAAGAGCCATATACACATATGATTCTCATTTGCTTTGGAAATGATTACTTCTATTCTCTTCTTCCTTTATTTAGTAAAACAAACTCAGTCATCAAAACAGATTCATTGCAAATTCACTAAAATTTCTATGACTTTAGACTATATAAACAAAGAATTCCCAGAAGTAATGGTTTTAATATATATAAAAAAAATAAAGTTAACTAAGTAAAATACCCTTACATCCATAATCATTTTGCAGTTTTTACAAGGTCCAATCTGGCTAAAGAGCTGGAGAATTAGAGCTTCTGTCACATCCCTGGAAAGGTTACCGACGTATCTGAAACACAAAGAAAAGCAATTTACCTTTTGTTGCTGTTTTAAAGAAATGGGGTTCCTGTAATCCCGCGCCTTTGGGAGGCTGAGGTGAGTGGATTGCCTGAGTCCGCAGTTTCCAGACCTGCCTGGGCAGCGAGACCTCATCTCTACACTAAATCAAAAATCAGCCAGGCGTGGTAGTGCGCGCCATAATTCCGGCTACTTGGAAGGCTGAGGTGGAAGGATCGCCGGAGCCCAGCAAGTCGAGGCTGCGGTGGCCGTGAGTGGCCACTGCACTCCAGTATGGGCGACAGAGTGAGACTCCGACTCAAAAAAAAGAAAAAAAAAGAAATGGGATTTCAGTCCAGGCAACTTGGCGAGAGACTCTCTACAATAAATCAAAAATTAGCCAGGCCTGGTAGCGCGTGCCTGTAGTTCAAGCTACTTGGAAGGCTGAGGCGGAAGGATCGCCGGAGTCCAGCAGAGGTTGACGCTGGGGTGGCCGTGAGTGTGCCACTGCCCTCCAGCCTGGGTGACAGAGTGAGACTCCAACTGAAGAAAAACACACACACACAAAAAGAAACAGGGTCTCCTTATATCGTGCAGGCTGCTCTCAAGCAATCCTCCTGAGTACAGCTACATGCCACCATACCCAGTTCAATTTACCACTTAAAATGTGCTTCAAATTAGCCAGGCGTGGTAGCGTGCACCTGTAATTCCGGCTACTCGGAAGGCTGAGGCGGAAGGATCGCCAGAGCCCAGCAGGTCAAGGCTGCAGTGGCAGGGAGCGGCCACTGCACTCCAGTCTGGGCGACAGACTGAGATTCCAACTCAAAAAGAAAAAAAAAAAAAGTGCTTCTTCTGCGTCAGTTTCTAAAGTTGCTTAATGAAAAATAAATTTGAGGAGAGGTAGATTTTTGCCTTCAACTATATTAGAGAGTAAGCCGGATGCAGTGGCTCATTCCTGTAATCCCAGCACTTTGGGAGGCCAAGGCGAGAGGACTGTCTGAGTCCAGGGATTTGAGACCAGCCTAGGCAACTTGGCAAGACCTCATCTCTTACAATTAAAAAAAAAAAAAAAAAAATTAGCTGGGCATGGTGGCGCGCACCTGTGGTTCCAGCTCTTTGGAAGGCTGAGGCGGAAGGATCACTTGAGCCCAGCAGGTTAAGGTTGTGGTGGCCGTGAACGAGCCACTGCACTCCAATCTGGGTAACAGAGTGAGACTCCGACTCAAGAGAAAAAAAGTTAGGGACTAACTAAAAAGTTTGTCAACACTTCAAAATCTCTTTCAAAATAGAAATATGCTATTTAAAAATCAATTAGGCCCGGTGCAGTGACTCATTCATGCCTATAATCCCGGCACTTTGGGAGGTCAGGGTGGGAGGAATGCTTGAGCCCAGGAGTTTGAAACCAGCTTTGGCAACACAGTGAGACCTTGTCTCTACAAAAATAAAAACTAATTAGTCAGGTGTGGTTGTACACACTTGTAGTCCCAGCTACTCAGGAGGCTGAGTCAGAAGGACTGCCTGAGTCCAGAAGGTTGTGGCTGCAGTGAGCCATGATCATGCCACTGCACTTTAGTCTGGGGGGCAGAGTAAGACACTGACTTAAAAAAAAAAAAAAACAAACAACAAACATGGGCTAGTATATGCCCATGTTTCAGTCAAGGTTTTGCAAATTAAACCTGTTGCTTCGTTTTAAGTTTCTAGGCTTACCTTAGGAAGATAAGCTTTAAAAACTCTCAAATGAGCCGGGCTCCGTGGCTCAGCCTGTAATCCCACGCCTTTGGGAGGCTGAGATGAATGGATTGCCTGAGCCCTGGTTCAAGACCCGCCTGGGCAACTTGGCAAGACCTCATCTCTACAATAAATCAAAAAAAAATTAGCTGGGTGTGGTGGCATGCGCCTGTAGTTCCAGCTACTTGGAAGGCTGAGGCGGAAGGAACACCGGAGCCCAGCACTCCAGTCTGGGTGACAGAGTGAGATCCAACTCAAACAACTCAAAAAACAGCAACAACAAGAAGAAAACTTTCAAATGAACCATTATCAGATGTATATAATATTTTATAAAATCAATCCTGGGAGATATGGCAATTATTTCTACTTCTAATATTACCAAGTACATTGACTTTCCCAATTTTTAATTTACATTATTCTCCTAATATTGTTCAATTCAGGTAGACTGGAAATACAACAAACACATTTCTGAAAAGTCATGAACAAATCACTCATCAGGTGTTGTGGATGATCACAAAGGGATAGGGAACCTTTTAACGAACATTACTGCTCAGTGGAAGAGGGGTGAGAAGGAACAGAAACACACCAGATAATATGAGTTGGTGATTAATAAACTAGATTCATATAAGCAGTGCATCACAAGACCAAAGAATTGGGATGCTTTTTATTTAAAGGGTTTAAAATGGGAGCCTGAAATGAGATTACCTCTAGGTATGTTACAGAATTAGAGGCTTATTTCTTCTGAAACCAGAGAAGGTAGTCGTCTCCCAAGAACTGTAGAGCTACTTATTCTTCTGTCAGGTACTCTTCAGGTTTGAAGAAAGGAATGGACTACCTACCCAGAAAAATAAACATTCAAACATGCCCACAAAGTGTGGATTCAGCTTGCTCTTTCTATCTACTGTTCAACAAACAAATATTGAGTGCTTAGCATGTAGCCACTGGAATAGGTTAAGATGGCAATGGGAGAAGTGCTGAGTCTTAAGAAATAACAAACAAGCCTAGGCAACATAGTGAGACCCAGCTCTACAAAAAAAAATTTTTTTAAATGGCTGGGTGCGGTGGCTCACCCCTGTTGTCTCAGCTACTTGGAAGGCTGAGGCTGAAGGATTGTTTGAACCCAGGAGTGTGAGGCTGCAATGAGCTATGACTGCACCTCTGCACTCTTGCCTGGGTAACAGAGTAAGACTCGCTCTTGAAAAATAAAATAAATAATAACATTTATTATATTGCTATATCAGGTAAATAATGGTACTCAAAAAAGGGAAAGCAACCCAAGAGCAATTTATCAATATTAGAGGTTATTATTATACCAAGTCCTTATTCCGAAAACCAGTAACTAAAGAGACAGAATAAGCATTTCTCCATCTTTTGAGTAGGAACTCCAGAAAAGAGTAATCGATAGGGTCTCGTCAATGAGGAAAAGCTCTCCTTTACAGAATAATGCTAGTTAATAAATGTAAACAGACAGTATTAAATTAACAGTGGGGAAGTCCTGATGAAATAACTGATTCAGGCAAGGATCTTTATGTTAAAACTACTAGGCGAAATAGTCAAAGGTGTCAGTTATCACACAGGTTACTTAACTAACTGCAAAGGGAAACCCTACCTTAAAAAAATAAGAGCTCTGGGCAGGGCGCGGTGGCTCACACCTGTAATACTAGCATTTTGGAATGCCGAAGTAGGACGATCACTTGAGCCCAGGAGTTCAAGACCAGCCCTGGGCAACATAGCAAGACCTCATCTCTACACCGAAGAAGGAAAAAAAAAAAAAAAAAAAAAAGCTGGCATGCACGTATATAGTCCCAGCTACTTGGGAGGCTGAGGATGGAGGATCATTTGAGCCCAACAGATCAAGGCTTTGGTGAGCTATGATTGTGTCACTGTACTCCAGCCTCAGTGAGAGTGAACCCTGTCTTAAAAACAAAACAAAAACAATATCCTGACTGATATAAAAATCTGTACTGGAGCAGATGCAAACCAAGGTTCCCTGTCATGATATCTATTAGATTACTAAACAAAAATGTAATGCTTTATTTATAGTTTTTATTTTTCAACTGCCTTATTTTTTAAAAATAACATTAAAATATGTCTTTCCAACTGTTCCATGGACTTGCCGTTAACCACATGGATTGAAATATAAGGTGAGAGGACTGCCTGAGCCCATGGGTTCAAGACCAGCTTGGGCAGTATGGTGAGACCACGTCTCTACAGTAAATCAAAAAACTAGTTGGGCGTGGTGGTGTATGCCTGTAGTTCCAGCTACTTGGAAGGCTGAGGTGGCGGATAGCCTGAGCCCAGAAGGTCAAGGCTGCAGTGGTCATAAGCATGCCACTGCACTCCAGCCTGGGTGACAGAGTGAGACTCCAACTTAAAAAAAAAGAAAGAAATATCCCATGCTGCCATATTGGTATTTACTGCATCACCACTGAGATGATGTACCAATCTTGTGCAGAACTGGAAAGACAATAGTAGAAGACAATTTAAGTGTTAAGGCAACCAAATGAAAAATGTTCTCCTTGAGCAACTGAATAAACACGAACATGAACTTTTTTTTTTTTTAATTCGAGTCTCACTCTGTTACCCAGACTGGAGTACTGTGGCACACTCACAGGTTCAAGTGATACTTTCACCTCAGTCTTCCAAGTAGCTAGAACTACAGGTGTGCGCCACAATGCCCAGCTAATTTTTTGATGTATTGCAGTGACGAGGTCTTACCAAGTTGCCCAGGCTGGTCTCAAACCCTTGAGTTCAGGCAATCCTCTCGCCTCCGCCTCCCAAAGTGCTGGGATTACAGGTGTGAGCCACTGCACCCGGCTGAATGTGAACTGTTAATGATATTGTGTCAATGTAATCTTAATGTGAAGAATTGTATTATGATTATATAAAAGAATGGCCTCGTTCTTAGGAAATATATGGTAAAGTATTTAAGCCTAGTATCATGTCTTCAGCAAACTTAAATGGTACAGGAAAATAACAAAAATCATAAGGTAAATTTGGCTAAACATTAGTAATTAATAATTTCACATGAAAGGTATCTAAGCTATCGATGTACTATTTTTGATACCTTTCTATAGTTTTTTTTTTTTGTTGTTTGTTTTTTGACTTGGAGTCTCACACTCACCCAGACTGGAGTGCAGTGGCCGCTCCCGGCCACCGCAGCCTCGACCTGCTGGCTCCAGCGATCCTTTCGCCTCAGCCTTCCACGTAGCTGGAACTACAGGTGCGCACTACCATGCCCGGCTACTTTTTTTGATTTATTTTAGAGATGAGGTTTCGCCACGC